CATGAAAAAAAATGAAGAACAAATTCTCAGAAAAAAAATATGAAAATGTTATTTCATACATAGACGTTATAAGTTTGTTAAATAATTTTGTGCGTAGCGATTAATTTCTTGACATTTTACAGAATAGAAGCCGTAACTAATAGTGAATATTTTAATGACAAAAAAAAATTGCATAACAATCCTCGTCTTTTATCTTCTTTCAAATGTTTAGTATGAAAATTTTGAATTATATTTAATGATTTTCAGTTTTAAAATATGCAAATATTTTCATTTTGGTGGATAATTATTTCATGCAAACAGGTATACTAGTATTTAATTTACATTATTATTCTGCCAAAACTTTTCTCCTCTTCTAGAAAATTCATAACAAAATTTTCCCGAGTTGGGCTGCCCCAGCTTTCCCATTGTTCGCATGAGGAGTTTGTCTTCGGAGAAAATCTGTGTGCGAGCAACTTATAGATGAGTTTCAGTCGGGAAAGTTTTTTAGATTAGCCGCGCAATTTTCCGAGAGGCAAAATTAATGAGTCTTCCAAATCTGCACCCCGAGAGGATAAACGCACAAAAAATCGGTGTTTATTGTTCCGCAGCTGTGGAGAGAGGGAGCTCGAGTGCGCCAACTAATGGCATGCAAATTTTGCAGATTTCTCCAAGTTCCCGGGAATAATTGATGACTCGCTGAATAAACAAGAGGAGAAAGATGGCACTGAAATGAAAAATCGTGCGCATTTGCATTAAGGAAGGGGCTAAAAGAAACGCAGCACCTATAGATCACTGTCTATCAGCTACACGGGAGCTTGAAAAAGACTTGGGGCTAAAAACGCCAACTTTTTACTTGTAAAAATGTACACAGGAAAAACTTCGGCACAACCTGGCTCAAAAAAGTTTAGCAATTTATAATCAAAGATCCGGCGGCGGGCGGGCGCACGGAAATTCTGCCAGCAATTTATGGAGGCTATTAAGCCTTGGCCGAGCTTCCTCGGCTCAGCTTCAGGCGAGCTTATTTTTCTCTAAATAAAGATCGCACCAACTTCGACAAATATTGTTTGGAAGGTGAAGTGGAGCAGAAGAGGCGCATTTAATTAAGAAATTTCAAGAGAGTTTACTCCCTTGGCTCACTCTGCATGCAGAGAAGGCGTTTCAATTCAGAACTTTGTTTAGAATAAAAATAATAAGACACTGGAGATCTGATTTAGTCTTAGAAAAGAGTGGAATGAAGACTAAAGTTTTAATGGAATTTTAAGAGTGAATTTCATTCAAGATTGAAAAAATTCCATCAAATTTTTATTATTTATAAATATTGCATTTTGTTGTTAATTTTCACATTTTTATCTTTCTCTTGTATTATCATTAAAAAAAATTGAAAATTTTAGCGAGAGAACGAGACAAAAAATAAAAAAATTGGAGCAATTTTGATTAAATTCTACTCACAAATTTAGAAAATTTCACATGTAAAATCTTAATTTTTATTATATTTAATAAGTAAATTTGTTGGATTACAGAAAAATATTTTTTGTTAAGTGCCCTCATAATTACTATGTTGTCCACCACTCTGTGATGGTAGTTGTGGACAGGCACATTGCCGCTTGCGTGGGCATTTTTCAGCAATTGGTTATTGTTGGCCCGCGGCGCGAGGCCGGAACTTTGACAGGCAGCAGCTTCATTGCGAGCCGGCAAATCGCTTAATTACGGACGCACGCATGCAATCAAACGCGTCCTGTATGCAAATGAGGCAAACGCCGCGGGTCCCCTGTGATCTTCAGCGCGGAAAATTCAAAATTGATAGTCCCTCTCTCGCAGCATGCAAATGCAATTTATGCGGCAACCGGGTTAATCACTAATGAGCTTTTAACAAACCGTGCGCCTGCTGTCTGGTTATCGCCACATCTCTTGCATCAGCGAGCAACTTTATAACATAATTAAGCAACCGCTAATGAAGCACTCGCGTATCACTTGACCGCCTGGAGCTTGTTTCATTATCAATCGCATTGGAAAATGAACATCAAAGTTACTTGAACTTTTGCCAAATTAACTCATTATAATTTGATAATTTTTACTAATTAAAGAGCGGAAATAAATTTTCATAAAATATTCAGCGGAGTTTAAAATTCAATCACAGCCAAGTTTTGAACAAAAAGAGAAAAAAAAACGTCTTTATTTTTTTTTCAATATGAATAAAATTCTTTCATTAATTAAATTTTTCCCGTAAAAGGGTCACAAAATTTCAATTTCTCAAACCTCTCGTGAGTCTTTTTCATCCTTCATTAATTTGAATTTTACAAATGAATTTAAATGAAAGCAAAAAAATTGCAGAAGACTGATTTAAATTTATTGAATATGAATTAAATTTCATTCAATTTCGTGGAAAATTAAAAAAAAAACCTTTCTAAATAGCAAGTACTGATATATCAGTTGTTTTAATTATTATTATTTTTACTTTTCTTATATCGGTCAGTCCAAATTTCGTTTTGTAAGTCTCTCATGCATTTCGGATATTAAATCAAGAGAAGCAAATATAGTTTTAAATTTTAAATATATTAATCCACATTATTAAAAATTCCGGCAACGAAATAAAATTCAATTTACATCAATTTGAAAGTTAAATTGAGCTTAAAATTAGTAAATCTTATTATGAATCGATTGAATTTTTATTGCTTATTTATTATTTAATTAGCTAATTTGGCAGAAATAAATTCACATTGTGCATGTCAAAACTATATGGATCACTATGAAAATAAGCGTGGGTTGGATGTCCACACAGAGGTTACTTGTTCCCAGGTCTAAATTGGCCTGGTGATTATCAAACGGAACAAAGCGAGACGTACCTTGCAGCCAAATTTCTCTAGCCTGCTGTGGTGTCCACTCTCGCAATTTCCAAATAGTAACACACAGCCCATGCAAACAACTCGTAACGTGAGTATTGATTGCGGAGAGTTGGAGAGACAGAGAGACAGAGAGAGAGAGGGACTGAAATTGCGGCCGTCGTCGTCGGTTGTGTGAATTGTGCCGCCCGAAATGCAGAGACGAGCAAAAAGGGTCCCGCAAAGAATTTAATTATTCTCGATTGAGCAGCGCCGCCCTAGACAAATTGGATTGCAGTTGGTCCCGGCTGTGTTTCGGGCAGGCTTGTTTGCGAGGACGGCGAGAAGGCACACAGACCATCTGTTTTTCAGGCCCAAGAGCCAACCAAGTACGTACCTGGCCGGCCAAGTAAGGCAAACGCGGGGAATATTGCGTGTCCTTGCAGCGCCAACGGCAGGTTTAATGTGATTTCGACACAACAAGAGCAGGCAACATTGCCGGAAAATGTATTGTTTCTCTTCTCACCAACGAGGCTAATGAAACAAGCACACTCCAACCTGCTGAACTTGAAATATTTTTTTGCTCTTTTCCACTTGTCGGCATCTGTTCAACTTATTTGCAGGTCTGCAGAATATTATCCTTATTGTCAGTTAATGAGAAGAGGATAAATTTTTTCAATCGGCCCTTTATTTTATTGACATTTTAACTTTCTTATATAATGATAAAGGGTAAAAAAGTAAGATCAATATTCGAATGATTCTGATTTTACAAAATAATTTCCAATATTGAAATATTGGAAATGAAGTAGTCGGGCTTTTCCTCGTTGCAAAAAATTGCTTTTATTCATTGACGAGGAAAAGCCCGACTACTTCATTTCCATGATCATCTCCTCGAGTGTCAACTTCTTCAAACAAATTTAAATATTGGTATGAACAGCAGATTTAAAATTCATTACATTGCCACTTGATTTTTTTTTTAATACGCTTATAATTTAATTTTAATCATAATTTAATCACATTTAATATGCTAGAAAATTTATATATTTTCTATATTATTTTCCTCAAATATAGTCTTCAAACAACAATTCGAGAAATACTAGTCACACGATAAAAGGTGATTTTGGATGCGCAAAAAATTTGTAAATTGCAATATTGTAAATAGTTAAAAGCAATTTTTTTTTTTAATTTTAGCTCACATAATAGTTGTTATCCAGCTTGAAATTTGCATTGTAAATTTTATGAGGCTGCCCAAATTTGATATTCTTGCAATCAAATTCCCGGATTATAAAGGATCCATTAACGGTACTTTCAACCCTGGTAACCACTACACAGCTCACTTGGCCCTTACAATTTTAATGAGAACCCCAGCTATGTTAATTTTGAATTTCTGACCGGACCAGAAAATTAAAGTTTGCGAAACGGAATTGGCTAATTAAGAAAACGCTATGAAATTTTAAAAATAATATTTTTCTTTTCCTCTTTTTCCCTTTTTTGAAACTCAGCAAACAACTTTGAATTTCCCAAAAAGCAACGTTGGAATAAAATTTTGTATAATTGCTGTATAAATAGCTAAAAGTGAAAAGAAAAAGCAAACAATTTTTTGTTAAAAGATGTTTTCCAGAGAAAAAATTGTTGATTCAATAAAATTAGCATTCATCATATTTTCCCTCTGCAAACTTCTTCTTTTTATTAACGGGCGACTGTTTACTTTTTAAAGCACCACAGAATTTTGTTTGTCGCCTCCGCTACTCAATTGATTCCCTCGGAGAGAGACGCTCTCTCTTCTTCGGGCGAATTCCTAACGGAGAAGGGCGCGCAAAGTGCAAATTAAGTTATGCAAAATTTTCGTCGACTCGTCCCTCAGAGGCAAACATCAACGAGCACGCGCCAGGGAAAACAAAAATTAGCATCCCCACGAGTTTATCGCAACCCCCTCCAGCAAGTTGAATTTTCCAGCGCCCACCAAATTGGCCGACGGAATTTACAAGCAACGGCCAATATGAAGTGCCGGGATTGAATAAATTTTCTCGGTGCACTCGTGACGGACCGGTTGCATATATATTCCCTGCACGATAAAGGCAAAGTAATTTATGAAGTATGAATTCCTGGGGGCTGCGTCGTAAAATTTTACGGCCAGGCTTTTACGGCGCCAAGGTGAAATATTATCAGGTTGTGTGAAACGTCGCTTTTTATATGTTGCAGGATTGCCCACGGAATACGCCGTCGGCGTGATGGAATGCATCATCATAGCCTAATGTGAGTACAAAATTTCGTACAGCAATTACGAGAAAAATGACTTTACCTTTTATTTGCCATGTTAATGTTTGCCTTGATTTTGTTTGTCGCGTGCAAATTTGACCCAGCGATTGATCAATCGATGCTAACAAAAGATATTATTTACGCAAGCATTGCGCAAAACTACAAAGCACTTCACTGACTGTTTGTATGCGTTCGATCGAGTTATCGCAGCCATGATTGTTTGCCATTTAACGGAAGAATTGCATCACGGCTGTATTGAAAAGCCAAGGTAGAGAACTGATGAATGCCCTTATTACATAAATGTATAGGTAAACTCCTAGAGCGGATTACGGAGGTGCAATAAACCGGAAGGCCATTGTCTGCAGTCGAAATTAGGACAAAGAGAATGCCTTGGGAGCAGCCCTATTGTTTGCATGCGGAACCGCCACAAACAATCAACTTCCGACCTCAACTCCGGGCCTCTTATTTTAACCATCATAAATTTTATATCATTATCAAAGTATCTTCATTAGAGAGGCACCGATAGGGAAAATTGATTGATTTTTCCCAAGCTTTGTTTGAAATTGGGTCAGATATAAAGAAGATTTATTTCTAGTTGACCTAATTTTTACGCTAAATGCATTGAAATGAATAAAGCTAGGAAAACGAGATAATTAAAATGTGCTTAAGAATCGAAAAAAAGACAAAATCAAGATAAGAGTTTCGACAATGAATGAAATTTATGTGCGATTTTTTTAACAAAATTCTATTAAATTTTTTTGTACAGTTCAAATATTTTGTTTTCAAATTTTGTGAAACCCTAAAACTATATAATATATATATTCCATAATATTATGGAATAAATAAAAATATTAAATAGCAAATTTCAATTAGTTGAAACTGGTTGAAACTAAAAACCATTCTAGAGTTGTTTTAAATTGCAAAATTCCTTACCAGCGGCTCATAATCACAATTCCAAAAGTTTTGCTTTTTACTCATTTACAAATAAACTAAATTTTATATATATTAATTAATTCAGCTTACAGTTGTTTTTATAAATATTCTAACTAATTAAAAAAACTATAATCTTCCAGTCAAACTTTAAATGAGGATTTGACGTACTAATCAATCTTTATTTTACGTTTCATTGTTTCAATACGCAACAATGACAGTTTGAGGCAAGTTTGGTGTGAGTATACACGGAAAATGTTAACTTGAGGCACTCTTGAATTATTCAAGCAAACAGATTTCAAGCAGAATGCGAAGCACCACCCTAATTTGCCGACGGTCGCCGAGAGTATGCATAGGTATGAAAGGAAGGAGCCGAGCTGCTGCGTATTCACTCAAACTTTGAGGAGGCAAACATTTATAAATATTAATCCACGGCCGGTTTGCCGACACAAAAGCTAACGAGAGAATTTCGTCAGTTGGCCGGCTGGCATCAAGATTGTTTGGCTTGGAGTGTCCGGCAGAGAGTTGCGTAGCCCTTTTAGCGCGAGCGGCCAGCGCACCCTCTCCTATCATCTCTGTGCATGTAAAAGCGGCGGCGGAGAGATTCTTGCGGTGCGTCGGGTCGCGCAGCGGGCCGAGGGCCACATCAAAAAGCGGCCGATGATCTTCACAAGCGAGTCAGTTATCCTTTTCGGCCCAAGCGAGGGAGAAAAAAGGCGAGATTTCGCCGTTAGATCTTGCTTGCTTGGGCAAGGCGGGGTGGGGCGCGCCACAGCGACCGGAGTATTCTCTGGTGTTGGCCTCGATCGATCCGCGGCGCACTCCACCAGTGAGCCAAAAACTCACTCGAGCAGCATCTACATGCTCCGCGTTCGATGCACGCCGCCGCCGCCGCCACTTCTAATCACACACGCGTGCACACTTTGGTCCGAGGAGCGCACAGATAAGCCTCTCGCCGGACAAAAATGTAATACAATAATCCTGGATAGAGGAGAATATGTGTGCCATTCGCTGTGCTCTCCGTAAAGCGCCGGCTGATCTGGGATATGAGGATGATATTACCTCTCTTTGACGTTATTTGCGCGCTCGCTCGTGTATGCGAAGAAGAAAGAAAGGCCCAGATTTGATCTTGCTGCCCTTTAGCCGGCGACCATTTTGCTGCCCTGTGCCCAAAAAAAGTAGCATCAAATATATTAAAACTTACCTAGATACGTTTTTGTATAATTATATAATAAAAAATAAAAATGATAATTTTTTTTCATTGTGTGCATTAGAGCAAGCAATTGTTAATATTTAATTTCAAGTTAAAAAGCTTAATTTATTGTTATGTTACTTTTTTACTTTAATTGTCACAAATTTTAAACAAAATAAAAACGTTTATAATTATTTAATGTTCAATAAAATTTGATTTTGTGTTTAAATTTTGATAGAATTTTACATCTTTTATTTAGATAATTTTGCTGTTTATTTTATATTTATTTTTATAATTTAAATTCTATATTGACGCTTTTGCAAATATATTGACTGATATTGACATATCTTCACACAAATTTAAAGTACATCTTACCTGCCAGAAAAACCTTGACTAACGTTATTTTGAATAGCAAAGACACCAATGTGAATAATTCTCAAAATATTAACTCATTTACAATTGAAAATCTTATAATTAAAATATATAACTGTATAATTTCGCCTGTGATTGACAAGTTTTAATTACAATAATTATCTTAAGCAAGGTATTTTATTCTATAAAGTTGAAAGTTATTATTATTCTCTAATCTCTACAAAAGCATAAAAAAGTATCAATTATTACATATAGAATTTTGCTTTTCCTCAATTTGCTTCCAATTTATTTTCATCATACTCCATTCCGTTGCTATCAACAGATAACATGAAATTTTCTCCTTCAGCAAATCTTTATTTCTTTTTTTCTTTTTAGGGGCAATCATTTCATATCCACCGCACCCCTTTCTGCGAGTTGACAAATGAGTGGAAGTCAGAGCGTCAAATTTATCACCCGTGATGGTGTTATGGAGCTCACACGAACATACACCCATAGCTCACGCACACATACGTGCGTGGTACACATGCGTAGCACCGCAATAGGCGAGCCTATTGTGCAAATATCCCCGGCCATACTTTTTCCTACCGAGCAGCCATTGCAATGATTCACTAACGAGCTAATTAAAAACGAGGGTACTTAAAACTTGCTGTTCACTGCAAAATACATTTTTTGCAATTAGAGCGGAGAATTCAGTTGTGTGCAAGCAATAAAAGTGCTACTCCATATTTTAAATCCATTCATTTTAGGAGCGCGCGCACTACTATACACTATAAAGGTGTTCGTGTCGTTTTTATAAATGAGCAGCATTACTCGTAATAACAATAAATGCGGCTGCAGCTGCGTCATATCTGGCGGACAAAGCAACAATAACACGGGCGCTCACACAATGAAACGTGACACAAATTTAAAACACACACACTCGTCGCGTGAAAATCATTTTTAATCTGTGCAAACGCAAATGCGCGTCTCGTAGATTATGCAAAACATCAAAAAGCGACATCCACTCGCTCTGGCTTGTTCGGCGGCGCCAGCGAGCAGCGCCGAAGCGCGCTTTTGTATACCCTTGTCTCTCTCGCTCTCCGCCGGGGTTTATCTGCTAAATAACAAGCGCGCACTGAGAGAGAGCAACCAGCAGGGGACGCTCTCCAGCCCCCTTTTTATTGCCGCTTGCGCCTAAAAACTGTCTGTACACACAAAACCCGTAGCTGAAAAGCACGGCCGCCGAGCGTAAAGCAAAATTGAATTATTCTCTACCTCGGCTTATTTTACCACGTTTCTACATTAATACAGCTATTGCCCAAAACGTTTTGTTGTTTAACAAAACAGGCAACGCACAAAAAATCCTTTCACGTCGCATTCACTGACGTGGGGTTTGTATTTTAGAATTCTTTCAAAGCATAAATCCTTTCATTAATCAGAATAATTGATAGGTCAATAAGAGCTGCTGAACTGTTTAATTAGTTTGGTTTTCTGTGTATTCAAATACTTTAGAAAAGTTTTAACTAATAGATTTTGATTAGTAATCATTGATGCATTTCAAATTTATTTACAGTAAGTCATAATACTTCAACTTTAAGAACAGATATAACTTAAATAAATTTTTTATTTAATCACAACTTAAGCGTAGAAACATTTCGTAGAAAAATATTTTTATTATTGTTGTCTCATGTTATATTATCATTGTTTGTTTGCTGAATTGATGCGTCATTTGTATGTCGAACGGGCCAAGTAAACATTGACGCAGGGTTTGTTTTGCTAACAGGCCTTTGGTATCAGAAGAACTTGTCTCTAATTCCTGAGAATTGTCAGAATGCATTCAAACAATAATAATTCCGACTCATGCATATTGTGAAGCGAATCTGTGCGCCGCGCGCCTTCGCCAAACCTAATTTAAGCCGTGTCAACTTGTAATCCGATTAAGGATTTCGAGGCAAGTTTTATTTCTTGGTGGCGAAAACACTTGATTTGCATACGACGCCACCGAGCAGAGGGAATTTTTGCAAATTCACGTCCGTGGGTCATAGACAAACGCTGCGAACTTTTTCAGGGGGAAAATCTCCCTCTGGCAGAACCAACTTGAGCCCACACGCACCCTTTTTCCGCTTCATGTATTCCCACCTTTGGTCCGGGCTTGGCACACTCCCACACTTATTTCGCTTGGAGATTTTCCAATAGAAAGAACCACTCAAATGAGTCATGTTTCAATTTCAAAAAATTTATAGAAGTATATAAGTTCAATTCAATTCAATTCAATTTATTTTTCTCCAAACAAGTCAATACAATCAATTGTGAAAAAATTGGTTGGGTTAAGTTTTAATAGGAAATCGGCTTTTCCTTTTTTCTTTTTATTTTTATTTTTTCTTTATGTTTTGTTCAAAACAATAAACGATTTATTTAACCCACGAGAGAAAAGCTAATTCTAAACTCAAAAAAAATGAATCAACCTTCAACCGTGAAATTCTTTTAACAAAACAAAAATTACACCCTTCGCTAAACCGATCAG